TGTTCCCCCCCCCCCCCCTTATCACCACTAGAGGTATTTTGTGATCACCTTGTATGTATCTGTTTTCCTCTGTATGTGAAATTAAAAAAAAATTACAATACAAAATACTATCAATATTTATATTAAACACATATAGTCATCAGAGTACAACACTTTTCAGCCTTCCTGAAGAACTGAAGCCAAAACTTTTCTCAGTTTTGGATAGTGTAAGGCCTGGTTCACACCTAGATGTTTTTGAGCAGTAGCAAAAAAAAGCTTTCAAATACCCAACATAAGAAATCCCATGATTTTCAATGACCCCTGTTCACACCTGAGCAGGCAAACGCCAAATGCAGAAAAAAGTGCATGAGCTTCTTTTGGCAGTTTCAGGCTCATCTTTTCCCAATAGACGTAAAGGGTTATGAAACCCTCAGCGGCTTTTTGCATATATCTACTGCTAGCAAGCGCACCCGCACAGAGCCCGTGGGACGTCAGAGGAGAGGAGGACAGAGGAGTCAGCGCTGGATCGGAGACCAGCACCAGCGCTGGAGGGACAGCTGAAAAGGACAGGAAAGAAGATGATCGAATCAAGAGGCATCATTTAAGGTAAGTCCTTACAGCAGGATTTGGAGGGGCGAAAAAAAAGTTTGACTTTAATGTCACTTTAATGGAAACGCTAGGAAATGCGCGGCAGAAGCATGTTGCACATTTTTGTGCGCATTTGTACTTGTGTTCGTCCATTGACCGCATTCCGGCTGCGGCGTCTCAGTATACCGCGAGCTGCAGCTTGCGGTATACTGAGCCTAGGGTGACGGGAGAACGCTAGTTTGTGTCCTCCCATTACCCTGAGGAGAACTATGGGGAAAAGCACTGACCCCATAGTTCTCCTTTAAGCTGCCAGCCAAAACAGGTCTTCTAATCCCTCTCCACTCCATACAATATTAACACATACACACACACACATACATACACACATACATACACACACACACACATACACATACATACACATACATACACATACATACATATATAACTAAATGAAGTTTTGACTTTAGTTGCACTGTAAGGACTAGCAAGCATTGAGAAGGAGGATGTTGTGTGTGCTTAGGGGTGTGCGAGCAGTGCGGCCGCACAGGGCGCCATTGCAACAAGGGCGCCGTGCGGCCGACACAGCTCGTCCTGGGGGCGGCTTCTGTCCCCCTCACCGCTGGGCGCTGGCCATCCGATATGACAGCGCTCCCTCGTCCGCCTCGGGGGCGCAGGAGGGATCGCTGCCTGCTGTCCGGATGGCGGAGCGGTGAGGGGGGGAGAAGCCGTGCCCGGAGGTGGGCGCTGTAAAGCTTTCTCGCACAGGGCGCCTAAAGGCCTAAGGCCGGCCCTGGTGCAGGACATCCTCATTGACTTACATGTCCAGGAAGTTATGTCGGGACACACACTAGGACTATTCCACAAAATCTAGGACAGCCTGCATCTTGTTCTGCAATGTAAAGCCTTTCTATACTCACCTATTGTGGAGATATAGGATGGGATGGTGTTCTCTGTGTATCTGGTCATTATACACGTCTTCCCGACGCTGGAGTCCCCAGTCATCACTATCTTCACCAGCAGCTTGTCAGTGGATGCTCCTGCCATCCTTAACTGTCACTGCCCGGAGGTGCAGACTGAGCCCTGAACACAGAACTGCGATCACAACAATACACCGAGCCTCTTCCGCATTAGTAAGCCTGCTCTTCCTCTTCCACACTACACTCGCTCTTCTTACAATCACAACCTCCGCGAACTGCCCCCTGCTTCCTTCCTGGCCATTGCACACAGGCTGCGCTCTGCACCGCTCCGGGGTCACACTGTCATGTGTACGGCCAACTTAAGCCCCGCCCACTTCTGGAAGAACTTGTCCATCAGCCCCGCCGGTGACAGCTCAGCCATAGCCTGCAGTGTCATGTACAAGTACTGCACACACATACACTGATCACACGGAGACAACTTGTTCTTCTGTTCCTTTTTTGTTAGTTAGAGTTGAAGTAAAGTTAAAGAGGAACTCCAGGAATGTAAAAAGTTAACCCTTACTGTGGGCTACACCCGCACTGCAAGGGTTAACTGCTCGTTTTTCCTCACAGTGCTGTGCTAGAACTCCTGTATTGGAGGTGAGAGTTCCATAAAGAGAACCTGTTGCCTCCAAATGCTATCGCACAGGGGATTGTTAGCTCCTGTGTGTTAGCACTAAAGTTAAGTGGGGGGAAAAATGATAAAATAAAAATGAAAAAAAATAAAAATTGGTAAAAAATAATTAAATAAATAAACAGTTTAAAAAAAATTGTGAACTAAGATAATAAGATACAAATGTAAAAAAAGTAAAATAAATAAAAAACAATTAAAACAATAATAAAGAAAAAATTAAAACCCTGCCATCCCTGCCATCTGGTTGCCATTCTCCATTGGGGGGGGGGGGTTTGGCGGGGGGGGGGGCCCATTGAGGAACCCGGCCTTGGGGCAGCAGAGAGAGTAAATCCGGCCCTGGGTGCCATTAACTAATAATGGCACCGCAAGTGCATTCCGCATTTGGTGCCGACTTTCACAGAACGAGGTGGTGGGAATGGGCGCTGAGAGGTTTTTTAATCCAGCCTTTTTCAACTGGGGTGCTGTGGCACCCTGGAGTGCCATCTGGATTCTTCAGGGGTGCTGAATGTATCATGTGTTTCTGTGGTGCAGGTGGGATGGCCGCAAGCACCATGGAAATGCATGAAGCTAATCCAGGGTGATGAGATCCATTCAGAAGTGTGACTTTGTCCAGATCTGCTCTGCCACCAGCTCTCTGCCATGATGCTGCTCTGATATCAAAGGAGGGCTCCCATGTTGTTGTTTTTTGTTTGTTTTATCATGGGAGGGTCCCCCTTAAAATCCATACTAGTCTCCTAAGGGTCTGGTATGGATTTTGAAGGTGGGGGGCACACATCTTTTTTTACATTTACATTTTTGAGTGCCTCAAGATTTTGCATACTCTAAAAGAGTGTTGTGACTCAAAAAAAAAAAAAAAAAGGCTGTGAAACACTGTTCTAATACCTCTCCACAAAAAGTGTTGGCTGTTTAGGGATAACAAGAGGGTTAATAAAGGGTACAATAGAAATACATTTATTACATATAAGGGTTCTTTAACTGATGACATATGCAGAGCAGAGGTCACAGCTTTGACCTACATTAGAATGTATTATTAAACACAATGTAATCATGCATTGTTAGACCATAATACACGTACCCTTCCATGGCAGCGGTAGCCTCTCGCAGCGTGTACGTTCTCAGCGCAGACATCTTCGCCGCTGGCTGCACTTGGAAGGTATGGCTAGGGCTACACAGGCGATTTTCAACTGCGCAAATTAAAATCTCCCACAGTCTATTGCTTTTCTTGTGGCACGTTGAATGTTATTAGTCCCCCTTCACACTTCAGCCCTGGAGCACCAATGCAACGCAAAAGGGATCCCATTATTTATTATGGGGCTCATTCACACCCATGCACAACCTTTACTTTGTTTCCCCTTTATTGGGCAAAACAAAAACACGTAACGCATAAAAATTCATGAAAGATGCACAACAAAAACACACTGTAAACCGCATGAAAATGTAGACGCACAAGTGTGAATGAGAAGAGGTGGAACACAAACAACCTGCAGTCACCCAATTGTGCAACTTAACTTTTATCGCCTAACAATGTTGCAGTTCAGTAACGTTATGCTGCAAGATTATTGGTATATCTACGCAATCTTCAAGCATCTAGTTTCTCCATGCCCTGAAGTGCCAATGCACCACAATGGATCTAAAATAGTGCACAATAAATTTTTTGGTAACACAAATCCCTGCAAAGCATTATAGTGTGGTGGGTTTTAGTGCACTGTGCAGGTGCGTTGTGGAGGTGCATATACATAAGCACTGATTACTGCACTGGCAAGTCCAACGATGGTGGAATATTCCATTGTACAATGCTGTCCATTGAGTCTGGAGGACTGGATTGATGTTGTATATGCCTATATACATATTCAGTCTGTGAGTATTTTTATATAGTTTTAATTTATATTTCCTCCCCTTCTCCCCTTAGCTATTATTTTGATATCTTTGTATTTCTATTTTCTTTTATCATTATTATTTCAATACTTAATGAAATACCATTAGGTAATATTTATTTATTAATTATTTTTTAATTCTCATTTGTTTAGTTGGTTAATTTTAATAATAAAAAAATGCCAAAACTAAATAAAAGCCCATTTTTTCAATTTCAGATAACCTTGCCATGCTTTCTACCACACACATGGTTTTAGTGTCATTTTAAATGGGGCAAACTGTTGAATCAAATATATACTTTTTATTCATAGCATCCCTACTTACAATAAAAAAATAATATTGCCAAAAGAAAGCCTAGTTTGTTCAAAAAATGTATAACTATGTTATCTTAAGCCATAACAAAGTTATTGCCACATAAACGAACCAATAGTGGAAATGTGGAAACTGCTCAAGTTCATAAGTTGTGTAATGGATTGAGAGCTGAAGTGGTTAAAAACTACTAAGGACAACCTTAAACCAGCTTCATTTTGCCTTCCCTGCTAACTTCAATGCATTTCTATGAAAACAACAAACTTTTGCTAAAATTTTGATGAAGCAAATTTCCCTTATTCCTACACATAGCATAAGGTGCATCTACATCTGAATGCAGTTTCCACTGCAGGTAATCACAGGTTATATATTTTTTGTGATCATTTTTATTGTCCAAATTTGTAACAGTTTTAACCATTTATTTTAAGACCATCTTGCCTGTGAGTTTTAAAAGGAGAAACACCTTACAGATCACTAATTTCCATCTTTCACACCAACAGTAAATGGATTTTGAACATTCTGTTAGTGAATTTTATAGAATGGTTCACAATAAGGGATCAAGCTTTATTTGCTTAAAAATAACAATATGTAGGTTACAAAATGGTAGTTCTGTTACTTTTTGTATTGCTTGACAATGTCATTTTATAAGTTGAATTTCTCCTTCGTGGTCTTGGTTGCCATAGAAACCTAATCTAGAAAGAAGTAACTGATCCAACATTATAAACTATAAGGAACAAAACTGGCCCTGAAAATGCTCCCTTATATGAGAACAATTCCTTCATTTGACACTCCTGTAAGATCTAAGAAAAACTGGAGCAGGCAGAATCTGGAGCAATTGGCAACCAATGAGCAATTGGCAACCAATGAGCTTGTTCGGTTAAAGCAGAACTCTGAGGAAAATGTTCTTAACCCTTGCAGTGGGGCTACCTCCACTGCAAGGGTTAAAGTGACACTAAACGTAAGAGTTACATCTTAAAAATACATTCAAGTACCTTAACTATTAACAAATATGTATCTTATTTGTGTATCACTCGGCTGTAAATCCTCAAATCATCTCTGAATTGGTGCCGACACTGTCCTTCCTTCTGGAGGGGGGCTACTTTTGTTCCCCATGGTCCCTGTATGTGTTGTAAAGAAACCACTGCTCCAATCTCACTTCCGTGTTGATGCCAGCTCAACAAAGGGAAGAATAACAGCAAAGTCAGACAGGATTTTCCTTCTTGATTGATTGTTCCTCTTGAGTGTGGTGATATAGTAGTATCACCACACTCATGAGATCCAGTCAGATAGGATCACTGTCATTTATGAGATCCAGTCAGATAGGATCACTGTCATTTAAAGTCTAGGGGTAGCTTTAGGCTACCCCTAGACGGCTGGGTTCACACCTAGGCATATCGAATATGCGCGTTTGTTGCGCATTTCGTGTTGCGTGTTTTTACCGCGAATCGCGGTAAAAAAACGTGCGCCAAACACGCATTTTCGAGGGCTACCTGGCTGTATTCCAATGGATGCGTGCGACAAAAATGCCCCAGAGAAGCTCCTGTACTTCTTTGGGCGTAGGGCGTTTTGCAGCGCGTTCATACGGCCTGTAATACGCCCAGGTGTTCTGTTCACATTTCCTAATATACAGATGGCCACTACATTTACAAATTTGTATATAAAACACAATCATAAAAATATAGAACAGCAAAACTGCATAAATGTAATAATTGCTTTAAATTCAATTTTAATTAAACAGTTGTACAATAAATAAATGTGTAAGTGTAAGACAAATCCCCTATTATGTATTAACAGTAAAAAGAATTGGAATGAGTGTATGGACCCTTTACAAGATAAATTCAGAGATGACCACTGAGGACAAAAAGAAGGCTTATTTAATCTATAGAAAAATAAGTTTTCCCCAGGGAGAGGGGATCCCACCATTCTTTACACAATCTACGTGACAATTAAATGGTGAAAAAAGTATTTATTCAATAAAAATCTATAATTTTAAACTCTACGTACACAGAAAATCAGAAAATTATATTAATCAGACAAACAGATAAATATATATACACAACAGACAGATAAATATATATACACAAAAATTAATGACTGCATACCGCCTATGAACCGGTAAGTGACATGTCTGCACTTTTAAAGCCTTTGATTATCTCACAATAAGGCCTTTCGGAACCGGCTTAGAGTTTGCTAAACTCTCCCATGTGGAATTCATGGATAACAAATAACAGCTAAATCTCACCAACCAGACCCTCCGGTATACCCGGATGGAGAC